TGTTAAATATATATATATATATATATATATATATATTATCCTACACTTTAAAAGATAGTCTAGCCTTCTCTCCAGCAGCAAAATAAATAAAGGCATAGAAATAAATGATGCAATGCATATTCATATTTCTACATAATAATGAGTTTCTTTTCATAACAGTCCTTGTTTTTAAGACAAAATGAAGCTTTTTTTTTTTAAAAAAAAGAAAAAACTGGTGATAGATTATGCTTTACACTTTTTACCATCAGGAGTGTCATTAAAACGATGAATATATATCGATACATAAGGAAAAAGAGTTACACCCTTACAATTTCGAATGCTATTCATTAAAACTGTATGAATTGCCATCGTAGCAGCGCTGGCGAAAATATTACCTTACTTGTACTAAAAATATTCAAATTCAGTTTAAAATGGGTGGAGACTAGAGTAATGTCTTCGTTACAGAACACTGCACTTCAAAACTCAAAATATAATTCCACACAATAAATCAACTCCGAAAATTGAATAATATTTGGATAAGATCGTTTCCGGAATTATGAAAATCATTTCTTCCGCCCGCGTTATGATAAGTACACTTTTACGAAACTCCATAAAAGCCAGTGGCGTCAGACTTTAAAAAAAAAAATGGTGAAAGGCTATAAAAAATCTACTTTAGGGAATGACAAGCTAGAAAAAAAAAGGATTGAAAAATAGTTGCCGATGCGCCATCGGGATTGTAAAAGTGGAATAAGCTCATCACCCCCCCCCCTCCTTTAAAGGCAAAATTGTGTCGGAGTTTTTGAAGGCGCACAATTTACAAGGATAGCGAAAATTTCTTATTCCCCAACGCGCACACAACACGCAAGGACTGCGAAATGGCAGCTGTTTTTTTTCAACCCCCCTAAACCTCCTCTCCTGGCATGATTAGGGGGTTTCTGGGAGACGGACCATTACGGCTAAGCCCCCAAACACTCTTTCCCCATATTCCGTGCATTTTGTAACTTCATATGATTATATACATGTGAGAGAGCAAATACCCAGTGTGAGTATCTTGGTCTGAAAAGAGGGGGGGGGGGAGAGAGGATTCTCGCGCGTTTTCCGAGGGGCGGCTCGTGCGGCTCGCAAGTTTCGGGTGCAAGTCACTTGCTCTACCCCTCGTCCCCGCTTTCGTGATAAGGTTCAAGTTTTTCACGCACTTTGTATGAAGACTCCAATCACAATAATAAGAAACGTGATTCCAGTTTGTGTATTGCCGTGTGAAATCTGTTTTGAGAAAGACCACACCGTATTTTGGAGAGAGCTGGGTGTTTTTGAAAGAGATGCTGTTTTTACTGGAATATTTCTGAATATATATATATTCTTAGGTTATGTATAATTTTTTCTAAGAAAGTTTTCCTTGAGAAGTATATAGAGATTGTTTCGTGATGGCCATTCTCAACATAAATTTTTTAGAAACCTTGTCAAAACTGAAATAAAATTGTATAATCACTAGAAGTCGCAAATTAATATTTAAGCAAAAAAAAGCAAGATTCACTTTATTTTCTAAAATGTTCAGTGATAAATTACGGTCAGTGACCGACAAAAAAATGTTCCTGTCTCTGATAGTTCTGATAAAAAAAATTATTCCTGTAAAGCTATCATTGCCATAAATATACAGGTTTGCCCATATTTTTTTCTTCTCAAAATATATGGCCACTGACTGTAAATTAATGCTGTGCTCCTAAAAAGGTATCTTCAGTTCGGGCCTTGATGTTGCAGAACACTCATATGATTTGTTTGTCGAACGAGGAGAAATAGTGTAACGCTCCACTTGGCGAGAAGTGAGAGAATGGACAATTGCAGTCAATTTTTTTTATGTTCTTAATGAATTCAGAATGATGGAAAAGTCCTGAAAAACATCTTTTTACCTCCCAAAAAATGCTACTTTTTTAATTAAGAGCAATTAAAAATCGTGTACTTTCGTTTTCAGTTTAAAAAGGAAGTCACGTGACTTTTAAGAAAGTGACGCCATTCGAGCCTGACTCGCGTTTGTTTACACTTTTTCTCCTTGGTGATTTAACGCTTGTTTACGTGCCTAGTTGAACGTCGTTTGTTTTTTTAAAAATATATTTTAAAATCGAAGTGTATTGCTTCTAAAATAGAAGGACACTTTGGGGGAAGATCTTTGATATCTTTTTTACCTAAACTAGAAGCATGAATAAATTTTTGGGATGAACCAACTGATGAAAGTTTAGATTTTTTCCAATAGCATTCTATTTCTGTTGGAGATGGTAGCGAACATTTTCGGTGAACCCAGAAAAGAAATGCTATCATGTGCTTGCATCCTCCTGCGCTGGCCGCACAGTTATCGCACACTAATGAGTTTATGACCCCAGAAGATTCATCACATGTCAAAGTTATTGCATATGCTTTGGTTTTTATTTTATGCTCAGGAGTCATTTTCCCTTTAACAATGCAGATATCACTTTCTCGCTTAACTTGCACATAGCCTATAGCATTATCCCCATATGTTTGTCTTGCTGATCTGAAGTTAAAATATATATATATATATATATATGAAAAAGATGATTTAAAAACTGAAAAACAGAATCTTATTAGACTAAACAACCAATTGAGACAGACCTGGCCTCCCCAAGGCCATAGTGTCGATAAAGAAGAAGAAGTTTTTTATAGCTTTCCTATGTCCATGTAATATTAGTTTGTGTTAATCGCTATTTCATATCTTTCTTTTCCGTAAAAATTCCAAAAGTTTCTGGAAACCTTAAATTATGAAATAGTTATTTAATATAAAATTTAGTATACATTAATTTTTTCTTTTTTTTACAGAATAGGGATAAAAACTATTATATTTTTTTAAATCCTTCAATATGCACACTATCTGCATAACTAGACGCTTTAAAATATAATGTAATAAAAATCTTTTTGATTTTTAATACATCATTCATAAAATGTACCAGTATCTTTCAAAATGGTTCATGTTATTATTTACACCTTGGATTTAACACTTTAAAAAATATTATGAAGCAAAACTTATTTTTAAATTTAATAAAAAAATTCGATAAAAAAACATTAGCAGGTGTAGTTAAAGTAAAATATACTAAAATTGAAGATGTGTATTTATGTTTGACAGTAGAAAGGGTAAAAATATTCTATAACTAGCTTGCCTCTGACTATTTCTTTAATTTTTTTTATAAATTAGAATCTAATTTTCTTTAATTTTATTTTATTAAATATTAATTTTTGATAAAACAATAATTTTTAATAAAAATAATAGCTTATTTATTTTTATAAAATCGTTTATAAATTATTTTTAATAAAATTGACTTCAATTAATTTTTAACTAAATTAATTTTAATAAAATTGATTGTAATTATTACAAAGTTGTTTATAATTGGTCTTTAATAAAATAATAACTTTAATTCAAATTAATTTTTAATAAAATAATACATTTTATTAAAATTAATTTTTAATAAAATAATTTTAATAAAAGAGTAAGTATAACGTTTATAATAATAATTTTGTGAGTAAGTATAATTATTTGTTTTTGTGAGTAATAATAATTTAGTGTGTAAGAATAGCGTTTAGTTTTATACTTTTATGAAAGTGGAAAGATGTTTTTAGTATACTTAAATCCTTGCTATATTTTAACGTGTACCTATATGTGTTATAACAAATCGCCGTTCCATTTTCACACACAAAATTATTTACAGCCAGGGGCGCCGGTAGAATAAAATATAGGGGGGTGCAACCCTTTAACAAACTACCATCCCCACAAAAAAAAAGATTAAAACTATTCTGTATGATTGCAATTCTTGTTTGATTAATCAATTTTTTACATAAAATTTTATAACTAAATTGCTTTTCTATTTATTTTTAATTGCTTAAAGAAAATCCAGGGTAGTGTAAGTGCACCTCCTTGCCGACGCCCTTATTTACAGCTACAGTTTATAAATAAACAAATTTATACCTTTGAGCCTTTATGCCTTTGATTTCAGGCGAAATGAAATCTTGGTTCGTTCGAAAAAAATCCATAATCATCTCTTCAGTAACTTGCGGCAAATTGTCCGTTTGA